TTCCCGTTTATCAACCATACCCTGCTGAATCTCAGTCTTGCCTTCTTTTGTTGTTCCTCATCCTCCGACCATGATAGTTTGATTTTCCGCCATTTGCAAAGGATTTCAGCCTGTATCATTGTTTTCGTCTCCGCCCAGATCATCTCTCGTGAGTTGGACACTCTTTCGATCGTTCTGCTGCATCTTTCCTTCCATATGACCCATAGGGTCACCTTCTAGATAAGTCCATACCAAATCCTTTCCGCTTTCCGGAGCTACTCAGGGATGTTAGTCAGAAGGAGAAGTTGGATGGGTTGTTCAGGGAAAGGGGTCGAGAAAAGGGAGTCCCAGAGGGTCGAGGCTCTCGCCCAGTAATCTGTCATCTCCCTACAGTGTACTAAGCAGTGACTATGTCCTCTACTGCACCCTCCGTACGTACCTTACATTGATCAGAATTGTCGGAGTCTGAACACTTCCTCCTAACGTGTAACCACTGATTAACTGGTAGTGCACCGTATATGATCAGCCATTGAAGGCTTCTGATTTTGATTGGTCTGATCGTTTTATAAATCTTCCATGGGATCTGTGTGATATTGTCGGCTTCCTGACCTATTAACTTCTGCCATCTGGCCTTGATCGCCGGTTCTGGGTCTTTTGTTTTTAGCAGTAGCTTGTACCCAAATTTGACCGTCTAATCCTGTATGGGGGTGAGCGTCTTAATGTTTGTCCTCTTTTCTGGTTTCCATGCCCACTCCATCGGGTCAAACTCCAGGTTGTGTAATGTCGTATCGAATCTGACGATAAACTTCGGCCATATGCCTAACACCCTTAATTTTTTGAGCAAGAAGTAATCAATGACTGTCGTTTCCACGTTGGTGTTCATAATCGACGGCATTCCCTTCGTGGAAGGTGCAATTGGGAAGGAGGTGAACACCGCTTGAGTAGCTGATCCCCATTGTAGGTGTGAGAATTGGAAGGCCCTAGAGGGAGGATTCTCCTGTACTTTGACCTTCCATTTTCCGCTTTTCCAAGGCTCCCCTTGTTTCAGCATATCTTTCCACTCCTGAGGTACAAGATTAGTAATGTACTGAGAGAGAGAGTTCTATAAACTCCAAAATAAAATAAAAAGATACCAAGCGCAAACAAGTACATGGCACATAAAATGACAAAAACAATTGCGTAATCGTGAGGGTGAGAAAGATAGAAGGAGTTCTGCCAGTCAAAAGAAATGGAAAAAAAGAAAAACTAGGCGAATATGGGGCCTCCCTCCATTCACTACACAACATTCGGAACGTATCTGGAGCCGGTAGTGATCACCAAAAAAAACAAATATTGGGTGGGTCCACATGTCTCTGGGCGATAATGACGTCCATATACGTGGAATGTTTTTTATCGCGGAGCAACATGACACGCAGAGTGACCAAGCCGAAAAAAACGAACGAAAAATCTCTCCCAAAGAAAACGAACGAAACAAGGTCTGCCAAAAAAGTAAAAAAACAAGGAGATCGAACGAAAACAATGTGTGCTGCCTGCTGAAAGGTTTCTAGGAGTTCTGGTAGCCTACAAATCATGAGTGTAGCACAAGGCATTGTCCTTCAGCAGCGGATAGCAGCCAGACTGCGTATGTGGGGTTCCGCATGCCACCTCTCCCTTTATGGTAGATCAATGGTTCTTAATGTATCTGGGGTTCCGCATGGCACCTCTACCTTTACGGTAGATCAATGGTTATTAATGTATCTGGGGTTCCGCATGGCACCTCTCCCTTTATGGTAAATCAATGGTTATTAATCATTAACGTGGCATTATTTTCGCTCACCTGGTTTGTGGGCACAGTAAGAGAGATCGCAGCGGCTACCCTTAGCGAGATCAAGCGTCTGGTCGCCAGGTTCCTGTGGAAGACAAGGGCAAAAGTGGAGGAACGGTTCATTGTGAAGGTGGTTTGGGAGTTGATCACGTACCCTAAAGAACAGGGGGGCCTAGGCCTTACAGACCCACAGCGTAAGAATCAGGCTCAACTTAGGATGTGGGTGGCTCACATTGCGATGGCAGAAGAGAGATATTTTGACGAGGGAATGACAATTGCAGAGGCCTGAGGATGTCTGGATTTGCTTCTTCATGGAGTCTTTCACGAAGAAGAAACTGAAATCAGGAGAGCTTGGCTTCTGCACACTCCGCAAGTTATAAAACATCCACTGACAAAGGAAGCGTGTGATGCGCAACCTCACACCCCATTGCGGCTTTCCGTACTGGGTCGCCGATCAGAGTAGAAGGGGGCGTGGCCGAGGATTTTTGGCCATGGGGGTTAAGTCTCCCAGTAGGAATGGGACTCTCTTGTTTCGGGGCCGATAGGTTTCCCCCGACTGGGGCTCGATCCTTGGTCAGGATTACCAAAAACAAAGGGGGAGGAGGATGGGGTGAACAGACGGGCCCAACCCGGTTTCTCCAGATAGGGAAAAAGGAGGGACGGGGGACCTATTCCTCGCCGGGCCTGCTCTGCGTAAAGGGCGATGGATTCCCCCGCGCCGATTCTCAATCCTCATCGTCGGGTTCGTCGAGGCCTCGGGGACTCGCGGCCGTGGGAAATCGATGGGCGGAGGCTGGCGCCACGGTCGAGGTACGAAAACGGGCAGGGAGAGCTCCGGCGTCCCGGGAGAGTTCAGGGAACCGGGCGGCTCCTTCGTACCCCAGAACCAGCCTTCGCCATTAGCAGGAGTCCCCCTGCCGGCACCAACGTCAACCAAACTGGGGGCGCCACGCGACGCAAGCCGCAGACCAGGGAAGCACCGTCAGGTCGGTGTAAGGCAGTATAAGGGGCGGGCAAGAGAAGCGGTCTATCAGCACAAACCCTTCCCCCGCGATGTGGCAGGCCCGTTCGGGGTTGCGCCAGTAAAGCTGCTCCGTGCGTCGTAGAGCACTCCGAACGTCCGCGTCGCAGTAGACGTTGTTGTCGTCGACGATGGGGAAAATCGGGAGTGCACTGCGACGCGCGGAGCCAGGGTAAGTGCACAGGCGAGAACCCGTGCTTGATTGGAAACCCGTCTCCATACAAGGAGTGATAATGTCTCTCTTTCTCTCTCTCGGGTGGGACACCACTCAACCAGAGGGGCCCGAAGGAGGCGCGGAGCCGTTTGCTGACCACCTTCAGCGGGCACAGCGAACGTCTCCGGTCCTCAACAGTGATGCGCCACGTCAGATGTCGGCGCCGCGGGGACTCCGACTTGAGCGCGCAGGACGGAAGGGATCCCTTTGGTACATGAAGGCCCTCGCCCTACGCGATCGAACAACAAAACTAACAGGGGAACGAGGCAAAAGGAAAAAGAGGTACGATGGCCGACTTCATCATGCATCCAGGCAGACAATCGCCACTCAATACCCAAGGACCACATACATGCATACGCAGACTCACACCCCTTCACAGACCATCTCACCGCGACTCACTCCCATGGATACAACCGATTACCCACTCGACGGGACGTTGCATACATCTCACGAAGACAAAGCAGCAATGGAGAAAAGAAAGCGAGTTTCCTTGTACACAAAATTTTCCAATTGGCTGACGCCCTCAGGCGCAACCGCAAACTTCCCAAGGACCACCGACCACCATAGCCACAAGACCCTGTCGTGATCGGCGCCCGATCTCCACCACTGGTCAATCCCTCCAGCTGGCTTACCCCGAGTCTATCGCTAAGCCCGACCCACGTCGTCACCCCGCCCGTAACTTGGGCTCGTCAAGCCTGTTCGGCGTCGCGGACGTTCGCGCATAGCTCGCGCAGCATTGCAGCCGAGATCAAAGAGAGGGAGAGAAGGGGTTGCGACAATTTATAGCATGGGAGGCGGCAGGTTGTCATCGCGAGGTGCGGGCAGCGCCGGTTGTAGACGAGCAGGACAGACGAAGGGTGAAGGGTTTCGGAAGGGGTGTCCACGGCGTCGCGTGGTCAGGCCTGATTGGGGTGTTCGTTCAAGTGGTGCGCCTTTTCGCCTTCCACATTGATCCGCGCATCCCAACTACGCAGCCATTCACTCGCGGAGGAAGACGGGGTGGGGATCGAGCTGGGCGTGGGGGAAGACGAAGAGTCCTGCATGGGGGAAACGCGCGCAGCATGAATGAAAGATGGCGCGGGGATGCAAAGCAAGAAATGGGGGTGCGAGGCGTGCGAAGAAGTCGGAGCTTAGGCGCGCGCGCGCAAAAATTCAAAAAGTCCCAACCGAAATCGTTTCTTGGTTTTCATACCGCGGCCGCTATTCGCCCGCGCGGGAGTTATTAGCCAAAGAAAAGTGAAAAAAGTCGAAAACAAAAATAAAAAGAAAGAAAAACCCCTTTCTGTTCGCATCCGTACTTCGGGGCTTCCGGGGGATTTTTCCTCAGGGATACGGCAAGCCGCGCGGTACGAGGCTGAGCTTATCACATCTGTGATGCGAAGGGGGTTCCGAAAAATTAGCAGTCTCCCGACTGTTGATGTCATCATCTTTTGGATGCTCGGGCGGCCTCTTCATCGTCAGCTGACCCGATCATCTCCTAAGCTACTTCGATGCATTTCGCATCGCCAGTCATCTCCCTCATATTATACACATGATCGGGCGGCCGCTTCATCGTCAGCTGGCCCGATCGGTAAGTAGTCCTCTGAAAATCTATTGTATATATATATATTTTTTTTGTACAGCGCGTCTCGACTCGCGAACTTTGGGCATAGGAGAAGGAGAGAAGAAGGGGGAAATAGACGAGGGCGATCAGAGGAAGTGATCGATGTCGGGATTAAGAGGGGGCGGAATAGGTGGAAGGAAAGTGGCCATTGCCGCGGGAGTCGTCGGCGCGTCTTTCTCATGGAAGTGGTGTTGGACGAACGAGTGATAGATAAAGGCCCTCGGCACATGAGACAGGACACGTGGCGCCAGATCCGCCACCGCTCGCACCACCCGTTTGCGCACTGATCGGGGTCTGGGACCCGTCATCACCAGATGAGTCTCGGTGTAGGGCCGCCGCTCCCGCTTCTGCGCCGCGAAGACAAGGAAGTGATACATCATATTGGGACGCTGCCCGGTCTCGTAGATGAGCGTCCCTGCCAGCCGCGCAGCGATACACCCTTGAAAAGGGGGTGTCAGATATGGTTCCCACGCTGGATCAGGGCGCGGCGCCCCCGCAATGGCCTCGAGCCTGATAGTGGTGGGTTCCACCATGAAATCCACCTCTGTCGGGTGGACCGTCCGGTTCGGAGGAGCTGCTAATGTCAATGATCGGGGCACTCCGGGGTGGCTGGCGGAAGCGGAAAGGTCCCGCGAGGACGGGGGGTCTGGATACGGGATCCGGTAATCCCATTCGGCGTCCTCCTCCGGCTGGTGTGGCTGATGGCCCGGCTCCATCCAGATTGAGATCGGGCACACGCGGGAGGGGCGGCGATAACACGACAGTCTCCTTAACCAGCGTCGCCGCACTCACAGGCACAGGGTCGGGATTCCGCGCGTGCACTGGCTGAACCACCTCCTCGCCACCTCCGATTCGGCTACCTTGCGCTCCTGGCGATGGGTGGCGTCTCTTCCTCTTCGGCGTCTTCTTGGGGGCTTTTGGCGGCGCAGGTCTGGGATACGATGAGGGAGGTCGCAGCGGCTTTTCCTCAGGGAAGTCCTCCAACCTCTCGTCGCGCTGCGCAATGTAATCCAGGATGACGACCACGTTGTACGTTCTCCGCGAGGCAGCCGCCGTCCACAATCGTGGCTGGATCTCCTCTTCCTCGCTTGCGATCACTTCAGCAATGGATAGGAGCTCAAGATGTATGAGCTCCAACAATCCCGGATCGGTTGTCTGGAGCTGGGCAAATGGGTACAACGCCACCGTCCCTTCCTTCTGCGCTGGCTTGGGCCGCGTGATGACGTAATAGACGACGAAGTGCTCCCCGATGCAGTGGTCTTCGTGATCCACGAAGAATCGGAACATCCCTAACGCCACCGACTTGTATAGCGCACGGTGCAACTCCCACGCGTCTGCATCTGCGAAAGGCAGCGGCTCCACGTCAGTCAGCTCCACCAAATACTCCGACAACTCGCTCATAGGATAGGGGCCCTCCGTGAGCTGATAGGGGAGAGTGGTGTAAGAGAAAAAGGGAGGCATTTAGTACGGGGCAGGGGGAATAGCTTGGATGTTGAGAGGGGCGGCGGGAGGAAGAAGCGCGGGGAGCTGTGGCACCAATGCAATTGGTTCGTCCTCTGCCCTGCGTAACAGTGCTTCGTGGGCTGTGAATCGGCGTCCTCCCCGTCCTTGCACTTTGGCCACTGATCTCGCCGCCTGCACCTCGTATTCGCGCACAAAGCTTCGCGCCGGCTCCCGATTCGGCTGCGGCAGGATCATCAGGTCTCCGATAAAGGTGGCGACGCTATGCACGAAGTTAGGTGCCACCTGGAGCGCGCGGAACTCTATGAACACTCGAGTCGTCTCCGTCCCAGGCAACTGCGTCACATCCACGTACACCCCCACATACGTCAACCGATCACAAAGTAACGAGTATGCCACCAAATCAGCAACCCCGGGCGCTGGCACGTTCACCTGCTGAATGTCGTATCGCAACTGCCTTTCCTCATTGAACTGGTGCCGCAACAAGCGATCGGCAAGCGGCGTCTGGAAGTACTCGAGGGGCTAATGCTCCGGCTGGCGATGGTTCATCCTGCTCCCTGAGACTCTCAGCACCAAGGGACGACGCAGATCGGGAAGAGGAAGAAGACGAAGAAGGAGAGGAGGAGATAGAGGACGAAGGCTCGGACGGGGCAAGAGCCGATTCGCGGCCCGGAGATGGCCGAAACAGTCGAAGAGCCGCCACGTGTCGCGTAAGCGACCTGGCCTGCGTGCTATGCCGGGGGACCAGCTTCACGTAGTGCTGTCCTCGTGCGCCAACGTCCGTCACCTCGTAAATGCCGGTATAGCGTGGGTAGATTTTGGAGGAGCGCACAGATTTCCGTACCTGCACCAAGTCCCCGATTTTATAACGGGGCATTGGTCCCGCTGTCGCGTGTCGGTTCTCATAGTCCCGGATCTGTCGTTGATGCGTTAGATCTACGGCCCTTTGTCGTCTTCGGGCTAACGCGGGATAGGTCCGGGCCATCAGATGCAGGTAATGCTAGGCCTTGTCCTTGTGTTGGGCCCGGGTTACTCTAACTTCCGTACCCACTAGAGGTGACAACTGCACTATGGGGACGCTATTGGTTCTCAGTTGGAACGGGGACACCCCGATGCTCCCTTGGGGAGTAGCCCGATAGACGGCCAAAATGTGGTCGACTATGACAGGCCAGGGCCTGGTATCACCTGCCGTGATATTCCGTCTAAGTGCACTCATGATCATTCGGTTGGCGTTCTCTACGAGCCCATTGGCTTGGGGCCAGTGCCCTGGGGAGTACGAAATTCTAACGTCTACCCTTACAAGATGTCGCTCTACTTCCCCCTGGAACTCAGATCCATTGTCCATATGTATCTCTTCTACGTCCAGGTGCATGCGCAGAAAGCGATTAATATACCAAGCTACTTCCTGCGAGTTCCGGTTGATCATTGGATACGCTTCGATCCATTTCGAAAAATGATCTACAGCTACAAGAAGAACATTGAGTTCTCCTTGATCAACAGGGTCTCTTGGCACGTTGATGTTCGTCGTATCGATACTGACCCGTTGGAAGGGGCGCTCTACCCGGGTAGGCACTATTGTACGGGGCATATGTATCGGCGCCTTATTGGCCGCAAAGGCCGGGCAAGTCCGGACGATGTATTTCACATCTTCCCGGATTCCCGACCAGTACCATCCGTTTTTCTCTATTGCTTTTTCCGTGTATTTGACTGCAAAGTGGACCGCATCCTCCTCGTGGGCGGCTCGTGTCCAATCGAACCTCGCCTGTGGGTGTGGAACCGTCAGCCAACTAGATCCGTCGACGTCATCATCTTTTCACTTTTGAAGGACGGATCCCTGCCAGCGGTAATCGTGCGCCCGTTCCGTGACACGTCGTCGTTCAGCCTTGGTAAGTTCCGTCAGCGGGTCGCCTGTCAGTCTCCGTAATAGCAAAAGATCCGTCCAGACTTCCGCTCGGCGGACACTTGGCAAAAATCCGTCTGCCGTTCTGGCTTCTAGATACCGTTTTTCCGTAGGTACGTGGTCCGTCCGACAGTTGGGACAGTTTTCAACTTTTCTCGTTCCAATACCGGGCACAACTCCCATGGGACCGGACGATGTGACATTGACTACATTGTACCCAGGGAAGAAAGCTAGGCCCCTCGAGAGGAGGATCTCCCTCGTCCGGTATCATGGGCAAGGTGCAGAAGAAACAAATTTGGGAAGACATGCTCGGAGGGGAGTCAGGGTCAGGAGAGGGGGTTAAAGAATAGGGAAGGGGAGAAGGGGTGGCGGCCTCCTCAGGGGAGATCGCCATCTCCGATTGCTGCAGTACCCTTGCGGAGGACATTCACCTCCCCGTAGCCGGGTTTCGTCGAAGGCGAAATCGGTTTCCACGAGATGAGATTTTCGTTCGCGGGACTCTTGTTCGGCGGCTGGAGGCACGTCAGACCGTCGGCGTTCCCGTGCTGCCTGGTGGCGCGGTGGCGGATGTCGAAGTCGTAGTCCTGCAATCTCACCGCCCACCTTCCCAAGGTACCCGTGTAGTCCGTGTTGTTCCGCAACGACAGCAATGGCTGATGGTCCATCACGAGCACGAACTTCTGGTCGTACAGATACAGTCGAAAGTGCTGAACCCCCCACACCACTGCCAAGCACTCACCCTTGCATGCCTCGTAGTTTGATTGTGCCTGGCTTAGCGTTTTCGATGCATACTCGATGACGTGCTCCCTTCCATCCGTTCCTTGCTGAGTCAGCACCGCCGATATCGCCTGTGGCTGCCAGTCCGTATGCAGCGCAAACTGTCTTGTCGGATTGGGACGCGCCAACACGGGCGCCGATGTCAGAGCCTCCTTGAGTGCCTGAAAAGCCGCCTCGCATTCCGGTGTCCAGATCAGCTGCTCCTCCTTCTTCAGCAGGTTCATCAGCGGCTTGCCGAGGCAGGCAAAGCCCCGAATGAAGCGTCGATAATAAGAGGCCAGCCCTAGGAAGGCTCGAACCTGAGTGAGCGTGACCAGGGCCGGGGCTTCTCGGACCGCTGCTACCTTCCTGGGATCAGGTTTCAGTCCCTCGACCGTGACGATGTAGCCCAAAAAGGAAATTTCGGACAGAAAAAACTCGCTTTTCTCCAGAGCCACTTTGAACCCCGCATCTTTCAACGCATGCAACACCCATTCGTTATGTTCCACATGGTATTCGTAGGTTTTGGAAAAGACCAAAATGTCATCCATGTACACAATTACACAGAAATTTATCAGCGGCTGTCAGGGTTGTCGAGCCCCGGCCCCGGGGCCCTGGCGGGGGTCCAGGGGTCCGGGGGTGGGCACCCCCAACCCCGGC